ATTTCACAAGCTGACCGAAAACGTTACTTCAAGCTACGCGAATCCAGTCGTCAATTTGAAAGCGTACCAATACGCACACATTTAACAGAAACTGAAGCCGCTTTTTTTGCAGTTAATCACTACCGCTTTCCAGGTGTTGAAATCAAGTCACGCTTGTTTAGAGAATATCCTCATGGCAAATTAGGTGCACATATCGTTGGTTATATTGGTCGAATTAACGATAAAGACTTGAGCAATCTAGAAGCAACTGAAAGTTTATCCAACTACAAAGGTTCTAGTCATATTGGTAAAAGTGGAATTGAACAATATTACGAGCAACAACTGCATGGCGCTACCGGCTTTCAACAAATTGAGGTCGATAAATATGGTCGAGCAGTGAGAACAATTTCTAGTTCTGCTCCTATCCCTGGTAAAAACATTACCTTATCCATTGACACCAAACTGCAAGCCATTGCTGAAACTGCATTTGGTGATAAACGTGGTGCATTAGTGGCAATTGACCCGAAAACAGGTGAAATTCTAACTTACGTAAGCCAGCCTAGTTATGATCCTAATTTGTTCGTTGATGGTATAGATGTAGATAATTGGAAAGCACTCAATGAATCACTTGATAAACCCCTTTATAACCGCCCTATTCAAGGGGTATATCCGCCAGGCTCAACATTTAAGCCTTTTGTAGCACTAGCTGGCTTAGAAAACGGCTTACGAGCACCCCCCTACGCTATACATGATATTGGTTACTTTAGTTTAGCCAATAGCGCTCACCGCTACCGAGACTGGAAACCTGGTGGGCATGATATCGTGGATATGAAGAAAGCCATTACTATATCCTGTGATACATTCTTTTATGGTCTCGCATTAGAATTGGGCATTGAAAGACTGAGTGATTTTGTGAGCCACTTTGGCTTTGGTAGTAAAACTGGTATTGATATTCAGGGTGAAAATAGCGGGTTACTTCCTACACCAGAATGGAAATCACGCCGTCATAAAAAAGCTTGGTATTTAGGTGATACTGTTATCACTGGTATTGGGCAGGGTTACACCTTAACAACACCGCTTCAACTTGCACATGCCACAGCCACATTGGCCAATAATGGCGTAGCCATCAAACCACACTTTGTAACAAAAATGCAGAATACCTTAACAGGTGCAAATGAAGCTATAGTGCAACAGGTTCAAGACAGCATACCATTATCTCCTGAAAGCCTAGAAATTGTGAAACAAGGCATGCTCGCGGTGACTCTTCCAGGCGGCACAGCCTCTAATGTTGGAGCCAATGCTGGTTATACCATAGCAGCAAAAACTGGAACGGCTCAGGTCATTGGCATCAAGCAAAATGCAAAGTACAATGCCAGCGCCATCAACGAGCGACATCGAGATCACGCCTTGTTTATAGCCTATGCCCCCGCAGATGACCCGAAAATCGCGCTTTCAGTTATTGTAGAAAATGGTGGGCATGGTGGCTCTGCAGCTGGCCCCATTGCGAGAAAAATCATGGATTATTATTTACTAGGTAAGATACCGAACGCTGAGCCTAACAAAGAACTTTCTAACCTACCGTCAGCTAATACGCAAACAAACGCTAATGCAACTGAGCAAGCAGGCGAAGAAGAGTTTCATGATTAATCAGATATTTAGTATATTAAGTAGGCGCATTGATGCCTTTTTGATGACGTGTCTATTTTTCACCCTAGTGCTTGGTTTGTTCGTGATTTATAGCGCTTCTGCTCCTTATATGTACAAACAAGCGCTTAACATGATAGTGGCGATGAGTTGTATGTGGGTCGTGGCTAACATTGCACCTCACCACCTTCAACGGCTTGCATTACCTTTATATATACTGGGCGTTACTTTACTAATTGCGGTTGAGTTGTTTGGTTATAGCAGTAAAGGTGCGCAGCGCTGGTTAAACATTGGTATTACCAAAATTCAACCTTCAGAATTAATGCGTATTGCCGTGCCTATGATGCTAGCTTGGTATTTCTCTAAAATAGAAAGTAAAGCGTCATCTAAAGATTTTATTGCAGCCAGTTTGTTGTTGCTTGTCCCCGTCATTTTAATTAAAATGCAGCCCGATTTAGGCACATCCATTATGATTTTCGCCTCAGGCTTTTATATTCTGTATTTAGCAGGGTTAAATTGGAAACTGCTTACTGGTTGCGCGATTTCCATTGCAGTTATTACGCCTGTGGTATATCACTATAGGCAAGCACTTCTAGATTTACTCATCAACCACG